TTGTCTTGTATGTAAAGTACCAAGTATCTGCAAATAGACATAGCTTAATGTCTTCTTTTGTTATTAATGTCCCCTTTATATCTTTTTGTTAGTAAACAGTGAAAAATATATACTGAATTTGCAATCAATATTGCTTTTTAACTGATCTATATATTGAATGTTCAATAAAATTATGGCAGTGTTTTGGGAATGTAATTGATAGATTGATGCTAAAATAAATATGTAAATGCAAAGAAACTAGAATAGCAAGAACAACATTCAAACAGAATGATCTTGGAAAAGTTATATTATTTTATCGCAAAATTTATTATATAACTTTAATGAACAATGGTTTGATGTAAAAATAGTCTAACAACTGGAGGAGATAATTAAGGATGACTCAAAAGAGTCAGTCATTATAAAGAAATATTCTTCAACCATGGTAGAGAAGCAATTTACTGGAGATAACCTTGGAATCATTGGTTCTGAAATGTTAGATCACTGTGTAAGGAAATAATTTTCATGACTAACTCTAACTCAAACTGCATACAAAAGTTTGCTCCAATGAATAACAGAACTAAATACAAAGCATAAAATTATAAAATTTCTAAAAGAAAAATAGAGGGAGACATTTTTGACCTTATGTTAGGATAATATTTCTTGGATAGGAGACTGGAAACATGATCTATAGGATGAATAAATTGCTAACAATGACTTAATTAAAGTTAAAAATTTTTGTTCTTTGAAAAGCACTGCTAAGTTTAAGAAAATTCAAACTGTAGACTGATAATAAATCTTTACAAAATGTATGATAAAATACTTGTGTTATGGGTTCTTAACATAGAAACCAGATCTAAGTCCAAATTAAAATTCAAATATGAGCCTTTTATTACTGGGCCCGGTACTACTTGACCATACTCACACAGGAGAGGACAAATGGCTAGGAGCCTTAGAAGTATAGAGAGGTAGAAACTGCATCTTGTTTGGCAAACAAATTTGTCATTTAACGTAGAACAGTACCTTTAGGGACAGCATGACCATTACTCAGCATACATTTTTTTTTTCTGGGAGCTCTCACTCTATTGATGATTTATCAATGTTACACCAAGCCTTCTTGTGGTCTTACAAGGAAGCAGAGTCACAGAAAGTTGAGCAGAGTAATATTTTATATTTAGTTTTACATTAACTCATCACATTACTTTTACATTAACCCTTTACCCTTGCATTTAAAATATATAAAGAACTTGGTCACTAAACTATAAAGAAGAGGAATGAAAAGAAAGAGGTGGAAGAGAAAGGGAGTCAAAGGGGTTACAATAATGACAGTATGTTATGTTCATGGATATATTTTCCAAAATTAAAGTTGGAGGTGGTGTCTCATACCTGTAATCCTAGTATTTTAAAAGGATCAGGAAGGAGGTTTTCAAGTTCAAGGCAGCTTAGTGATTTAATAAGAACCGGTTAAAAAAAAAGAAAAGAAAGAAAGAACTAAAAGAGGAGAGAAGAGAGGATGAAAGAAAAGGGCTGGAGGTGTTACTCAATGTGATGGACCTGGAATGAATTCTAAGTACCACAAAACATAGACAAAAAATATCAAAAATAAATATACTAAAATTAAATATACTTTTTTTGTATACCTGAAGGATATTGAAGACTGAAACTTGCATGCATCAATAATAAGCTAAGAGTTCAGGGCTAGAAGATGTAGCTCAGTGGCAGAGTGGTTGATATCATGAATGAGGCCATCTTCATTAAGAAAGAAATCTGAGCTCCATCTGGCATCGAGAAGAAAATGAAAAGAAGATAGAAGCTCAACTGCATTAAAAAATACTTTTATTGAGAAAGGAGTAGCAAAGAGATAGTTTCAAAACAGGTTAGTAGGACAGTTACAATAATTAATACACTGCATATTGTTGACTTTGTAGTAGTTTTTTATGAGCAGAATATATTTATTGAGGGAAAGAAAGCTTCTGTCTGAGAGAGGGACAGGAGGGCGGCCCAAGCAGGTTGTTCTCCCGTAGTAGTTATTCATAGTACAAGATGCAGACATGATATCTTGTTTAAACACTATTAGTACAAATCTTTCTTCTCATTGAACTAAGAGAAAGTAGCTGTATATTTATCCTAAGTATTTTGTATATACAGATACAAATATATATATATTTTTTTTTTCACTAAATATGGTCTTTCACTTATATCCCCCTTTTTTATTTACATTTGTCAGACATGGGTATTCCATTGCCATTCATGCTAATGTTTCCAGTAATACCAATAATAAGAAATAGATGTAAAAATTAAGGAAATTTGTCTCAGTTACTTTTCTCTTATTGCTGAGACCAAACACCTGGCACCCAAAGGTAAAGGGGGAAGTCTGATGCATATTCCAAAGATATTGTTTTAACTACTACAAGTATGAATTGATTTCATAGGCTGCAAGATTAAAGTTATCTAGTTTCACACTTACTCATTGTGTTGCTCAGATGAATTTACTTAAACTTATGTGAGTTTCATTCTGTTTTCTGTGAAGTTGGGCACTACGCACTTCATTCTGTCAACAAATACTATTGGCTGCTCTTTATTTTGCAGACAGTGAAATTTTGTAAACTTTTAATAATGATTTAGTAAGAAAATCCATGCCAACTTTTCAGTATCTGGCAAGGAAAAAATGCTCAATAAGTATTTGTTGATACTTATTTTGCAGCTTCATAAAAATGAATTGGTAAATGTTTGTTTTTCATACTCTCAATTAATTTGCCTATTACAGATCAGTGTAGTGTCACAATGAGGGATAAAAACTCTCTCATCCCATAATGTAAAAATCTATTTTTCCTTCTATCACTAGCCATGTGGACTTAATGTATTTGTGAGTAAGAGGAAGATGAGTATAATGGTACCCGTGGCCTATGACTCTTATGAAGAATAAATACGCACCTGCATGTAGAGCTCTAAAAAGTGTCAGATACAGCGTTGTACTCTTTTAAAACTGTTTCATTTTATTACTTTGTCTTAGATTGCCTGATACTTGTGATTCTCTTCCCTCCAGCTCCCCAGTAGCTGGGATTGCAGTTGTATATCACTTTGCCCGACTTTTAAAACTACTTTTTAAAATTGCCTGTTAACTTACATATATGGCATTTCAATTATCTTGCTATGCATTGAAATGACATATCACAGAGAAATTGTATCATCTAAGGCATATATATATTATGTATCCCAATTGTTCTTTGAAAAACATAAAATTTTAACTGAGCATTTTATTTTATTTATTTTTTTAACTGAGCATTTTATTAAAAATATATTTATAAATAAAAAAGAAATTGGCATTTTTCTTTAATAAATACTTTGTATTGAACTTTTGAGAGTTTAATATATTTGAAAGTAAGGCATTCATTATCATTCATTGACTAGATTATATACACATTTGAGAGGGAATTATTTTCTGTTGTAGTAGTTTTAAATACATAGTACAAACAAAATTTTAGTGGGATCAGTGCTTTAGGCAGAGTAGCTTGGTAAAACTGCAAATATGTACCAGCAGGAAGAAAAAAGAAAAAAGGTAGAATGGTCAATTTCTCTACTTCTTGTGGTGGGGAAGGTAAGAAACAGCTTCTTTTTAATCTGAGTTACTTAACTGAGACATAAATGAATGATAGAAATAAGAAGAATAAGGGAAAGAGTGTTTTCCACAGAAATAACCCCAAGTACAAAACCCGTGAGTTACCAAAGAAGACTTCAAATGAGGACAATTAGGCCTGCAATGTAGAAAGGGACTATATTGGTAAGTGAAATAAATCAGATCCACATGTGCAAACATCATATCATCTGGCTAGCATGAAACTTGAAAGGGTATTTAAAATCTGAAAGGTACAATAGATACTGTGAAAGGGAAAGAATTTATCCAATGGGAAGGAAAAATAGGATGAAGAAAAGGATAAATGGAAGAAAGAAAAAAGATATATTTAGATATATATGCAGAATAGTTTGGATAATTGTACTGTAGATTTCTTCTGGTCTTTTTTACATATATTAATTTTATTGAGAAAGAAATAGCATCGAGACAGTTTCAAAACAGGATGGTAGGACAGTTACAATAATTAATACATTGCATAGTGTTGTCTTTGTAGTAGTTATTCATACTACAAGATGAGATATGATATCTAAACACTATTAGTACAAATCTTTCTTCTCATTGCACTAAGAAAGTAGCTGTATATCTATCAAAATATATATTTTCACTACAAAATAGCCCTTCATTTATATTCCACCTTTTTGTTTATTTTTGTCAGAGGTGGGAATTTCATTGCCATTCAAATATTGTAGGTGCATGAATTCAGCAAAGTAATCCAATATAGTCCAGTAGTCTGTAATAGTAGTGGGTTATCCACAGGACTGACAATGTCAAAAGTTGTTGACTTTAGCCTTTTACAGCTCAGTATATTAATATGGCTTTACTTTTTATACCTCATTTTTATACTTTCCTGCTGGATGATTCAGACCAAGATAAACCAAGACCTATATAACACAAAATGCAACTTTTTTTGTCTGACAAGTTCAGTCAGTCAATCCCCTCAGGATTTACCCAGAAACACTGTATAGCAGTTTGTAGATCTTTTGTCTGTGCAAATTGGTCAAGGAATGGCTGTGACTCATCCAGACTGCTGACACTGACAAAAGATCTGGTCCTTGAGAGGAGCAGTTAAGGCTTAATTTTTTCCTTTTTCTTTTGAATTTCTTATGACTTTTTTTTTAACCCAGTACTGGGGATTGAACTCAGGACCTTGCACTTGCCAGGAAAGTGCTTATTGTACTGAGCTATCTCCCTGGCCCCTCATAATTGTTCTGTTTTGTGCTTCCTTTAAACCAATCTTGCACATTTATATCTGGCAATGTAAACAACTAACTTGAAAACAGCATCATGTAATCCAGCAACCATTGTTGAATTCCTATTACTTGTAGTAAAATTTTGTATCATTTTTAATGCTGTTTTTTTCAGTCTTTCAAAAAACTAGTCAGCAACATTTGCAGTAGAAGTAATGAGAACTCTCAATGAATAATTTTCTGAGACATTGTGTTTCATTGATTTGATTTGGATTTATTTTATTTTGCTTTATTTTCAATTTTTATTTGCTAGATTAGAAGTAAATTCATGCTTTACTGTATTCATTTACAAGCTTATTAGAGGAGTGAATTTGCATGAAAAGTATTTGTTCTGGGTGCAAAAAATATTTGAGTAAGTTTACCTGTATAGAGATCAGATCAAGAAGAGACAAAGAGATGTGACATTTAGTATCTTTTGCTTAGTTGACATTTCTCTACTTAAACAATCTCTTCCTTTTTTGAGAGGAGTGCAAATTTTTTGAAAGAATCACTGAAGGCTTGTTTAACTTGCTTGTTCCTCAGAGTGTAAATGAATGGATTCAACACAGGAGCAATGGATGTCATTAGCACTGCTACACCCTTATTAATTACAACAGATTCCTTCACTGAAGGTTTGACATACATGAAGATGCAACTTCCATAGGTGATGGAAACCACAATCATGTGGGAAGAGCATGTGGAAAAGGCCTTTTTTCTTTGCTGGGCAGATGGGAGTCTTACAATGGTGATGATGATTTGTATGTAGGACAGAACGACACACACGAGGGTCAGAATGAAGGTCAGTACAGCACAGACAATCACCAGCTGCTCTATGAGCCATGTGTCTGAGCATGAAATACTCAGGATAGGAGACGCATCACAGAAGAAAAAGTCTACAATATTGGAGTTACAGAATTTCAAATTTAAGAACATAGTGAATGGTGGAAGTATGATCATCAAGCCTGCCAGCCAACAGCAGAACACGAGATTCCTGCAGACCCTTCTGTTCATGATGGTTCCATAATGCAGGGGCTTGCAGATGGCCACATAGCGGTCATAGGACATTATGGCCAGAAGAAAGAATTCTATTACTCCAAAAATATCTATGAAAAACACTTGAATAACACAAACATTGTATGTTATTGACCTATCACCTGTTGCTATGTTGTACAAATATCTAGGAATGCAAGCAGATGTAAATGAAATTTCTAGCAAGGCGAAATTTTGTAGAAAGAAGTACATGGGTGTCTTAAGATGGCAGTCAAACAAAGTGAGAAACATGATGGTCATGTTCCCAGTTATACTTAACATGTAAGTGAAAAATAGAAAAATAAAAATTGGAATCTGAAGGTGAGGGTCATTTGTTAGTCCCAACAGAATGAAGGTTGTTATTGTGTGGTTTTTCATCACTGGCAAGTGAATTTCTTCAGACTTTCTGTAAAATTTAGGGATAGGTTACTTGAACAGAATAACTGAAAGCCCCATAAATATCCTGTAAACAGTGATTGCTAGATACCGGAAAGTCTCTCTCTCTCTCTCTCTCTCTCTCTCTCTCTCTCTCTCTCTCTCTCTCTTTGTATTTTTTAGGGAATGTTCTACAGGGTGTTCAGAGTCTCACTTTTAGATTGAACTCGTAGTGATCCGCTTGTTTACAGCCTCCCAAGAGCTGGGATTTTAGGCAGGCACCACCATGCCCAATCTCAATTGCTTTCTCAGCGTGCCCCAGGGACATGGCAGGCTGGGGATCGAATCCGGGGCTCCTGTGCTTGCTTGCGGGTGCTTTAATCCGCTGAGCTATTTGGCCTGCCCTTTTGGAAAGTAGATAAAAAAAAAAGTCATAGAGTCACATAACTATAATCCCAGCATTTGGGAGGCTGAGACAGAGTGATCAAAAGTTTCAGCCTGGTTTGAGCACCTTATGGAGATCTTGTTTCAAAAAAAAAGTGTTAGCAATATAGTTCAGGGAAAAGAGTCAATCTTTAGCACAACAAAAATAAAACAAAACAAACCCAAATCAATTCATGCAGCAAACAAACCCTAAAATGTTGAAGCTGTCTTCTATTGTGGGTGGACTTCATTCTGAAACTATATATATATATATATTTTTTTTTTCTGGTGAGCAAAACATTATATTATGACAATATTATATTGTATGCTATTGTTACCTTCCATTCTGACCAAGTTTTTGACTGACATCGTCTGTTTATTTTAGCTAGTTGCATCTTGGTTGGTAGCTCTTTTTGCTTTTCTGAGGCATCTATCAATAATATATCTTAAAAGGTCAAGGAACTTGCATATATAAATGTGATAGTTTCCTATGTTATTCTTCTTAATATGGGTCAATATTTTTACATCTTTGTAACTACCTTACATATAATTCCATTCAATCTCCACCCATTGTAATTATTTTGCTAGTTTAAAAATCCCTTTCATTTTTAAATTTTTTTGTGTGTGCAGTACTGGGGATTGAACTCAGGACCGTGTGCTTGCCAGGCATGCACTTATTCTACTGAGATATCTCCCCAGCCCCTAAAAATTCTTATTTCATAATTTTCTTTTTCTCATAAAATATTTTATGAATATACCACAGATTTTGAATCTATTTCCAACACACTCTTATGTATCTGTTTTCTACAATTACCAAGATATGTGCAAAAGCATATTTTTAATAAATGTTATTCTACAACTTAATAATTCTTAGAAAATTAATTTCAAGGACAAGGATATATTTATTGAGAAATTTGTATACATTGGGTTGCCACCTATAAACCTCACAGAACTATTTTCTTTCAAATAATAGTGTAACTTTGTGCCTGCGTTGAACTCATTGAAGCATTTCCCATGTCTGTTTTCTCGATTATTGACATTTTTATTTGATAGAAGTTTGGGTCATATTTATTTTTACTTATAAGATTGTACCACAGAGGAAACATCTACTCAGTTTATGGTCTATAATTCCATCATTGTCTTCTACAGATGAAGACATTTTTCAGTTTTTCTATTTGTGTCTCTTCAAAGAATATTTTAATAGTATTTAAAAATAGGAGCTGAGAACCTTCCTGATTTTGTTTAATGGTCATTCTATAGTTTTGTTCTAGCTATTATTTAATTTTACTAACATATTCAAACATATTTGACTTTTAAGTTGATAACTTGAACATTTCAATTTGTCCTAAAGAGAAGAATGCAATGCAATTTTTAAAAATTTTCCTAAAAATCTTGTTTAAAATTAATTTTATTGAGAAAAATTGCAATGTGACAGCTTCAAAACAGGTTGGTAGGAGAGTTACAACAATTAATACATTGCATATTGTTATCTTTGTAGTAGTCATTCATAGCACAAGATGCAGACATGATATCATGTCCAGACACTATAATTATCATTTTATGAGTAGTTGCCATTTGTTCCTTTAAAGCAATCACTTTCTGAAATAATTGGAGCTGAGTCACCTCTTCATAATATAACTACTACAGTTAAATTCCAAAGCTTATCATTATTGAGAAACAGAGCCAAAGTTTTTTATGAAGGCTTACTACATTTGTAGGAATTATAGGGTTGCTGAGATAACTAAATTGAGATAACTAAAATGGACCCTTTTAACTGAAAAAATTAAAAGGATATTCTTTCAGCCTTCTGACTATTTCCAATCTACTTCTTTTGAACTAGTAGCTTGTAGAACTATTACCTGGTAACATACTTGTTCCTGGATCCTTGCACAATATCCTGGCTTGGGCCAGGGAGATGGCTCAGTGGAATAAGTGCTTCCCTGGCAAGCACAAGGGCCTGAGTTCAATCCTTGGTTCCTGCAAAAGCAAAAGAAAACAATACCCTTGCTCCAAGATATCTTTTATTTATTCCAGTTATTAGTAGCAGCTTTTAAGTGGTATAGTCTAATAGTTGCAATTATTTTTATATATGAAGCACAGTGCAAGGTAGCTGATGTTGTCATTATCAGATAAATTATAGAAAAATTTCATACAAATTTACCAAATATGATATATAATGAAACAGCCATTGTACTTACTCTTGTGAGAGTTTACGGTAGCTTCAGGTGATTCTTAGAGAACAAGATTTCTGAAGGTGAATATGAGGGAAAGAACCTAACAGCAAAGTCTTATATGGGGCTTTTTTGTCTCATGACATGGCCCCAGATTTATACTCTGACTAATTGATCTGAAGAAAGATGTAGAACTTTTCAAGTTTTTTCAACTCTAATACACCAGAAAGATTTTCCAACTAGGAATTTAGGTCCTTTGTTGTGTAGTACTCTTTGGTTCTCTTTTGGTTGAAAATAAAATATCTTGTTAAATATTTTCTTATCTTGGTTTTGACTTTTCTGGAGGTAGTGAAGGTATTTTATACTATTAAGAATTACTTTTAATTTAAGTGATAAGCCTGAAACTAATAAAAAATAAATAAATGAATAGGTCCTTTGAGACCCATATTCAGACATCATTAGTAAATTTTCCTTGTAATGAAAAAATTTCCTTAGAGACACAAAACTACAACTATAACAACTCATGTGGGTCAAGAAATGATTATCCATGACCTATAATTTTTCCTAAACATGAAGCAAAGTTGAAATATTATGAAGGCAATGTACCTACTACTTTAAACAGGAAACAAAACAGAAAAAATATTAAAGAATATAAAGCAAATGTTAATTCTTTCAATATTTGAAATAATAACTAAGTGAATATTTTTGGAACAAAAATAATTTTATTATTTATAGATCTAGTTTAACTTTTTTACAGTTTAACCTAATTATATAAACTATAAGACAACTATAGAGGTACATCATCTTGTACAACAAGTATTTTGGAAGACCTAATTATGGTTTAAATCATTTTTACTAATTTTAAATACCTAAAAAATAGTCTCGATAACTTAAAAACAGCTTTGATGTTGTCATTTGTATTCTTGTATTACTTTTTCACATGTTTATTTGGGATTTTCTTTTTTTCTTTTTTTTTTTTTCTGCAGTACTGGGGATTGAACTCAGGAATCTGCCCTTCTCAGGCAAGCTCTTATTCTATTAAGCTGTATTCCTGGGTCCAGGATTCTTTCTCTCCTTTTATAATCTTCTTGAAAAACAAATATCAATGAGACAGTTGCAAAACAGATTACTAGCACAATTTCAATAATTAATACATTACATGTTTTTGTCTTCTTAGTGGTTATTCATAGTACAAGATGCAGACATGATAGCCTGTCCACAAAAACTATTAAAAAAATCTTTCTATTCATTGAGTTAAGAGAAAGTAGGTATACATCTATCTGAACTATTTTGAATATACTGATACAAAATGGTACTTCATTTGCATCCCCCTTTTTTATCAGCTTTGTCACAAAAGGGTGTTCCATTATCGTTTAAATATTGTAGGTGTGTGAATTCAGCAACATATTCCAATATAGTCCAGTAGTCCATAATAATACTGGGTTATTCACATAGCTGGCAATGTCAGAAGTTGTTAGCTTGAAGCTTTTACATCTCAGCATATTAATGTGGCATTACTTTTTATACTTTGTTTTCATACTTTTTTGCTTGATGATTAAGAACAAGATAATGTAGGACCTATATAACAAGAAATGTAAGTTTTGTATGTGAAAGGTGAGTCAAATCCCCTCAGGATTTAGCCTGAAACTCAGTACCGCTGTTTATAGATACGTTGTCATTGTCACTCATGTGGATGAGTCATGGCCATTGCTTGACAAATTTGTTCTTTTTGAAAGCATGAGAGAATATTTCTCTTCATGTGACTTTCCTTAGGCACCCTCTAAATCATCAATTACTTTCCTCTGTGGCCTGATAATCTCCTTGACCAGAAAACTTGGGACACCACGTTGTTACATGATGTTACAGTACAGGTTCTCCTATGTCTTGAGTCCTCACTCACCTTGAAAGACTAGGGCCAAAACGCTGACTGTCCTTGCAGCCTTTCCTTTTCTCTAATTTTTGGTCTGAAAACTTAGGCCATTAACCCTCCAGAAGAGAAGCTTGTTATTTTCATCTTACAACATAGGCAGTTGAGCTTAACCCCACTGTCTGTCTGAATATCAAACGTCTTAGACATAACATGGAACAGGTATTTTCCATCAAGTATTGATATGTTAAACTTTAAGTCACTACAGACTATGAAGAAAAAATAAACAAAAAAGTTAAAAAATAGAAATAAACCGTTATATATTTTTACATGGAAATTTAGAAATCTAGTCATATACAGCATTGTAGTAGGACAGTTCTATGACTTCTTTTTCTTGTCTTTTGTTTTCATTTATTACCCTCTTTTTATTTATTTATTTATTACTTTTTTATTATCCTCTTTTTTTAAACAAACATTTACTTGACAGACAGTATGGCAGCAATTTTAATATATTTATTAATCTCTTTACTTTTGTCCTCTGAGAA